CTGAGATTAAAGTTAAAATTCTGAGATTAAAGTTAAAATTCTGAGATTAAAGTTAAAATTCTGAGATTAAAGTTAAAATTCTGAGATTAAAGTTAGGATTCTGAGATTAAAGTCAGAATTCTGAAAAGAAAAGTAAGAATTCTGAAAAGAAAAGTCAGAAATCTGAGATCAAAATCAGAATTCTGAGATCAAAGTCAGCATTCTGAGAGATTAAAGTCAGCATTCTGAGAGATTAAAGTCAGAATTCTGAGATTAAAGTTAGAATTCTGAGATTAAAGTTAGAATTCTGAGATTAAAGTTAGAATTCTGAGATTAAAGTCAGACTTCTGAGAAGAAAAGTGAGAATTCTGACTTTTTTCCACATTAAACTGATATAATATTTAAAAATCAGTTAACCTTTTTTTGGCCCCTTTTCTGTCCCTAATCTTCTTCAGTAAAAACCACTGAAATGAATACAAAATAGTAATTGAACATTTTGGCTGTAAATAAAAGTTTAAACCTTCCAGTTTATGTATAGTAGAATAAAGAATAAAGAGTGAGTAGTAGTAGTTTCTATTAATCCCAGAGCAGCGCTGCTTTAATCCCAGGCCCAGTGAACTCAGCAAACATTGTTCCCTCAGATCCTCCCATCCAGGCTGCTTTATCGGACTGATTGAATCAAACTGCTGCTGAGCGTTACTTCCGTTAAACCCCACAAATACATGACATTTCTCGCACTAAAACAGAAACCCCTCCTTAAACCGACCTCTATTTTAACACATATTCTAACCATGTGTTGTTGGAGGTCAAACCTGAGATGACAGAAGTTTAAGCGCAGTTTTATTGCTCAGATTGTTAGATTAAAACAAACTGCAGGGCGCCACTCACCTTTCTGTCAGACTCAGGAGGGGACCAGCTTTATTTCAGAGGAGCTGTTCAGGTCTTCATGCTTGTTCTTCACAACATGGTTTTATTGTTGGTCGGTTATCCGCTGGGAAACGTCCACCTCACTGTTCTGTAACCTTAAAACTACCAGGCGCTGATTTTTAAATTATTAAAAACAGTGTTTTCTTCCCTTGCAGGCTGCGAGATCAGTTACAAGTTTGCTGCTGGTCTGGTAATCGGACCCTCCTCCTCCTCTGGTTAAAAAAAAAGTTTCAAACTTTAGAGGGTGGGGGGCTTGGCTACTTGGTAGATTGATGTTGGATTGGGCCAATAGAGGAGCTACCAGAGGATTGAACAAACACTTTCAGGCCAAAAACCAGCCCATTCCCTACCGCCGCCCCCTCCTCTATTAGCGTTTCCAGTAATTATCCTGGTCCCAGTCCCACGGCACCAAATTTCCCAGAGGAAATGGTGTAGAGGGAACAATGGACAGGACCTTTCCATCATCACTGTATTTATGGCTCGTTAGATTTTATGGCACCCTTCGACACAATGGGATAAATCAACATTTGGGATGCAATGCAATATATAATGAGAGCATGCTCGGAGCTGACACATGACAAACTCATAACGGATGTTTTCTTAAAACGGGGATTTCTTCCCGTCTCTTTGATGAGGCTGCGGAAATTTCCAGTGATTATTTTCTTGCGTTTGTGATTCTTGTATTCACGTAATTTTTGCATCCTTTAAAATGTGCAGAAGACTTTATAATTTTAATCATACGGGCCACTTTTGGTCGTAAAACGTCTACACAGTTCCATCAAGAGCATATTAGACCGAGCTAAAGTAAGTTTGTGCGAGATGTTAGATCTGGAGCGCCCTCTTGTGGTAGAATGGATACATTGATTATTGCGCAATGTTTGGCTATACGCACGTCAATACTCTTCTAGTCTTTTCTATTGGTCATAGGTCGTTAATTTTGATGGCTTGTTGCTGTTTTTAATAAAATCATTAAAAATATATAACGACAATAACCCCCGCTTACAGAGAAAGGAATGTTTTACTACCTTTTTTTTTTATTTTAATAAATTGGTAATGACTGATCAGGCCTCTAAAGCTTGCTGTTATGCCAAGGAACAGGGGTGGAGCTAGATGGTTGGCCAGGGGTGGCCATGACCACCCTCAGCCATTAACTAGCCACCCTACCATTTCTTCCCTTTAATTTAGATAGTGGCAACAGTAAAACTCTGAGTTGGAATGATCTAACTTATCTAACATTTCAATTTTTCATATGTTAACAGTTACTTGACAACAAAAATACTGTGGTTAATTATGCAAATATGTTAACATTAAAGATGATAAATACAGAATTCCTGCTCTTTGCAGAAGTAGATTTTGTCTTATGGGGTAAAGAGAAAATTACATCTCTGCAAGTCATCCAGGAGTCTTCAGTGAAATCAGAGATAAATAACTACTTTAAAGTGGAACAGTTTTTTTTTTTGTTTTTTTTACATTGGCCCATACACGCGTGTCATACACACGCTGCTTTGTTTTTAACAGATATAAATATAAAAAATATAACCGCGGATGTCTGGGGGACAGTGATTCACCTACATGTTATGAATGCTGGCGTACCATACAGAATAAATTATGAACAGTTCAGTTTGTGCCTTCAAGTTGTTGCCCATAGGAAGACGTTACTTGGATATAACAAAACCGAATATCTTCAGAACAGCTCCAAATGACACAAAACTAATATAGGTGGGCAGCCCTTATTATAATCTTCTGGCTACGCCTGAGCCAAGGAATGATTCAGCATGAATGATTTTCTGAGAGTTTCTGAGATACTTAAATCAATGATTTTGATTTAAGTATACTAAAGCAGGGATGGTATCAAAAAGTTTGAAGATAGTGACAATCAGAGAATGGGGCTTTGCAGGTCTTCTTTTATTCCCCTTTACGGGATTTCTATGGGATTTAGTTCTAGTGACGGAGGCAGCTGACTGGAAAAATGCTGACTCTATTTGGTAAACAGTTTCTCTGTAGATTGAGCCATATTTGAAAAACCAGCGCATTCAGTTTTCAGTCAGAATCTAGATTTTTGCAGATCTTATTTGAGAACTATCAAGTCAGCTTGCAAGAATATTAAGAATCATCATCATTTGCACTGGCATCAACAAGCAAATTTAAATAAAATTTTTTCCATGACTACCAAACCTTATGAGACACATTTCAAAAGAAGGAAAAACGTGCTTTTAAGTGATCTTGTAAAGCACATATTTATTTATGGGGTTTTTTCATTGAATATTGTGATTCTTGTCAATACTGTGAGAATCACACAATTTAATGAGAGAAGATAAACAACTGAGATGTAAAAAGGCAAGTTACAGCTTAATGCTCCATCAATTTGAACATTCAACGATCTTGTGTATGTGGAATCAAATTTTAAAGTAATGACACGTGACTCAAAGATTGATTGGTACTGTATAAATACTAGAGGTTAAGTATTTCATAGAGGGAGGAGAAAACATATTTAAACACATTTAACCCTACAGTAGATTTAAGGTGTTTGATTGTATGTGGAAGGTAGAAGTTTGCACAATTAAACTACAGCTCAGGTCATAACACTAGATTGATAATATATGAAAAAATGCTGAGATTTCTGATGTGCAAATATTCAATTTGCTTATATTTTGTACTTGTTAATCAAAATAGCTGTAAATACATTTTTCCACATTGTCATTTAAAATGTATGTGACCCAGAAAAGATCACATTTCTGTGTTTCTGCAAAAAAATAATCTAATTAAAAGACGTATTCAACTGCTTTGATTTTTATTTTTTATTTTTTTGTCTGATAATCTAATCCACAGTTACATCATTTACAATTAACATTTTTTTTATATACTGGAACATATCCCCATTATTTTCTAACAAGATTTCTTAACGGTTTGTGTGTTTACTTTGCTTAAAATACAATTCCCAGAATCCTTAGCAGAACCCCGAAAGTGACGTGTTTTTGCGACGTGTCAGGAAGTCTCATTAGCCAACATGTCGGCTCAGCAGGGTGATGTTGATGAGCTGTTCGATGTAAAAAATGCATATTATATCGGCAGTTATCAACAATGTATAAACGAGGCCCAGAAAGTAAAGGTATGTGGTCCTTTCAGACTTAATTTTTTTTTCATAAATGCTGTTTTATGTTCGCAGGCCTGTCTCATTGGCTAAGAGGAGCTATGCTAAGCTATTGGCTAATCTCAGCGTTTATCTTTTTCTCCAAACAGTTGTCTGAATGACTTTAACACTTTAACATCCAATTTATGTTTTGTCTTTGAAGCCGTCATCACCTGAAAAGGAGGTTGAACGGGATATGTTTTTGTACAGAGCCTACATCGCTCAGGTAAGGAGAAGCGACAGGTAGAAATCGGCCTCACTCGTCAGTAGCTTAATGTTTTTAATTAAATATGTCTTGTGGGTTTAGTTTGTAAATATAAGTCCTATCAACAACCTAACATGTAGAGTTTTGTGTTTTCACAGAGAAAGTATGGTGTTGTTTTGGACGACATCAAGGCCAACTCTCCAGCTGAGCTCCAAGCTGTAAGGATGTTTGCAGAGTTTCTGTCCAATGAAGGCAAAAGGTAAAGGTTTGATTTTTACTTCAATGACTTTGTACTCAGTAATGATGCAACATGTGTTTTTTTTAATAAATTATATGAAAATAGTTGCAATAGAAAGCAACTAACACATTACACACACACATATATATATATATATATATATATATATATATATATATATATATATATATATATATATATATATATGTGTTTATACACAATGCTGTGTTGTTTATATGCACATCTTAAGGCTGCTCAAACATCCACAGTCAAAGCATATCATGCTTAATATTGTGCAGGTGTTATATTGTTGGTTCTTTAGCTGTACACCACAATATAGCTTTAGGAATAGATAATGTTGTTTATCTAAGCAAACATGTTTTCTCATTAACAGGGTGCACATAGATTTATATTAGTTTAAGTTAACTCATATTTACTGTACTTGCTCTTTCTCATCAATGTGATGCCTCATGGACTTCAGCTCCCCTGTTCAAAAAAATTGTATCAAGTGTTTGGGTCGAGACCAGTTCTTTCAATAGCTCAAAGATATTTGCATGTCAATGGTCATTGCTTGACCTACTAAATATTGCATTCAAAGTAGAGATGCACTGTTCCATTTTTTTTTTTTCAATCCAACACCGATACCTGATGAGTCTATCAAGGGAAATCCGATACTAATCCGAATCATTTGGGAAATAAAGGAACCATATACCTTGCTATGTGAGTGAAGGCTTTAGCCTTGGCATAAACATTTTTAAAAAAAGATAACAAATTAACACAGATATTTAATACTGTTGATTAACAAATAAGCAGCAAAAAGAAAGAGATAACTGTTCCATGTAAAGTACACTAGATTGGATCTCCAATATCAAATCATCGATATTCAATCCAGCTAATTAGTCAAGATAGGAGCTGATATCCAATCCAGGTACATCTCTAATCAGAAGCAGTGTGCTTACTGGCATCCTGCACACATTGCTAGTTCAGAGATGAATTCAGTTTGATGAACTATCGATCTTCGATTAAAAAGTATCAGCATCAATGCAGTTTTTTTGTTTTGATTACAAATGATTAACATTTTTTTTCTATCAGCAGAATAAATCAAGACAAATTTTGATCGGAATATTTCAAATGCTGGTAGTAGTGCAGGCTTTACTAAAATAACATTTTTTCTATTACATGACACATGATAATCTTAACATACACTTGTATCTAAGATTCCTGAGCACAGCAGGGCATGTAGGTATACAAACATTTGCAAACAGGTGGCTAGCACTAATCCATCTAAGTATTTTCAGTTGTAGCCTCATAGCATCGTTGTATGCTTGACATTTCTGGATGCTGCCTCTTTTGCATTGTCGCCATAAATGGGTAGTGTGCACTGGAGTACAGAAGGCTTTAAAAAGAGTTATTTTTTAGAGGATAAACTAAGGTTGGGCGTTGTCTAACTATATTCCAAACGATATTTGTCAGTTCAACAAATTCCTATGGCCAAAGACAAGCACCACTTGAGAGTGTGTCTTCTGCACCACTGTTAATATTGTTAACCACTTGTGCATACTTCTAATAACCAATGAGGTAAACATGCTTATTTTCTTGTCAAAAATGTATACGTTTCAGCCAGTGGGAATAGTTTCCTCTTTTCCAGTTGTTATGACTACGGCATGAGACATTATAGTTTAATGTTTTTATTTGTAGATAAATTGCTGCAGCACAGTATTACTGGGGAAGAAAGCTGCACCTGGAAGGAGTTTCTATGTACCATTAAAAACAGCATTAGCAGGGGTTTTTTTTGTTTTTGTTTTTTTGTCATCAGCTGCATCTTAACCCATAGACCTAAAAAGAAACAAAAAAAATAGTTTTTAAAAAAGGATAATTGAAGGGCTGAGTCCATTGTCAACGGTCAGTAGAATTCTCCAATCGCCTGACCTTAGGGTGAACAAATTCAATTTTCTGACCACTGTGTTAGCTTGTGCATACATCATACAATACTGCCTGTAAATGTCACGATCATCAGACAGGTCAACGTTTATTTAGTGCCCCAAATATTTAAACTCATTACATGTTGAGAGCTGAACCAGAGGAAAACAAGTCAGAGGTTATCTGATGTTTATCTGCCTTACTTCTAACAATCATGATGTTGCTCTATGTGGCATTATATGTTGCAGATGTCCTAACTACATCATTTTTTTTGTGGGTTAACTTGTATTTATTGATGTGTGGAAATCTTTTTTTTCCTGACATTTTTTTTATCCTTAGTGAGTTTTTCTCCAAAAACAATGAAAGAAAACCTGTTAAACTGTTTACCTTCCCATGTTGCATTGCATGTAGAGCCTTGGAAACAATGGTTGCTTGCTTTACTTTATTGATCGCTTTGATATTCTAAGACAAAAGAAACTGAGGGTTTTCCTCCTAACTATCTTTGTTTTTAACTTAGGGATGCTATTGTTGCTGATTTGGACAAGAAGATGGCGAAGAGCGTTGATGCTGCCAACACCACCTTCCTCATCATGGCTGCGTCCATCTACTACCACGAGATGAACACGGATGCCGCTCTCAGAACTCTGCACCAAGGAGAAAGTCTGGAGTGGTGCGGATAAATCTAAAGAGGAACTTTAATAATTTTTGCAGTTGCTAGATTTCAAAATGGCAATTGATTTCAACATATGTCAACACCAGTAACGATTTTGGCTTCAGGTTTTATTCACAACCGTCATTGAGCTGTAGAAGACTATAAACTGCCTTCATAAAAAATGACTGCAGTAATTTGCACAACATAATTGTTAATTTAAGCACCTAAAAGGCAACACTATAGATTTGTGTTGGGGGGATTTACTGCTAATGGAAGCAAGTGTTTACTTTGAATTCAGGTTATGATGGGTATAAAATATTAATATGCAAATCGATTTCAAGTCTTTCTGTTTTGTTCACGAGACGTTTGTTGCCATTGTTTTTATGTTCTTGAAACAACTTAAGCTAAACCTTGTTCTAAATGTGCTTTCAGTATGGCCATGACCATTCAGGTGCTTCTCAGTCTGGACCGTGTTGACCTGGCAAGGTTTGTCGTTTTAATTTGACATCCTTTAAACTTAATGACCTTTTATTGTAATTTTAAATCTCATATTTTACAAATGCTATTATTTTTGAATGATTTTTCCCCTAATCTTTGTGGAATTCCTCGACAGAAAAGAACTGAAAAAGATGCAGGAACAGGATGAGGATGCTACACTAACTCAGCTGGCAACTGCCTGGGTTAATATTGCTGTGGTGAGGGGAAAAAAAAAACACCAATTCATTTTATAACATTATTTATGATTAATTTATAGATAGAAGCATTTGCCAACATCTGTTGGGTTGGGAGTGCTTTTTTGGATGCAACTTCTCATAATGAATTTCTCTTTGGCAAGCTTCAATGTGGTATCTGATTTAGGAGTTAGGTTAAAACACACTGCTGTTATTTCAGGGTGGAGAGAAGCTGCAGGATGCCTACTACATTTTCCAGGAGATGTCTGACAAGTACTCTTCTACACTGTTGCTGCTGAATGGGCAGGCTGCTTGCTACATGGCTCAGAACAAGTGGGAGGAGGCTGAAGGAGTGCTGCAGGAAGCTCTGGATAAGGTTGGACTGATTATGTTACTCACCAAAAAGGGTTGTTTTGGTCTGAATCGAAGGTGTGTTTTCAAAAGAGTTGCTCCTGCTGTTATTTGTTTTGAATCTTCCATATTTAAAATCAATGAAATGCATTATAACACCGGTGTTTCTTAAAAGTAGGCTTTATATTTACATTTATTCTACTCCTATAGTTTAGGCTTTTGAAAATGTTGCCAAAATTATCTTATGTATCAATCATTGCATTTACTCTTAATTATCATGATACATTTTTTAATGTTAGTAACTAAATTAACATGGCAGTTGCTTTAATTAATGTTTTTCTTAGGAAAAATACAGCAAAAAAATAATTTCAAGAATGAATAACTTTTTTGCTATTTTTGTGAATTGTGAATAAGTTGTTCATTCAAAATTAGATTTATAATCTAAATTTACAGTCTAAAAACACACCAATATTTCCTAAACTGCATTTAAAGGGCATTTGTAAGTTTTAAGGTTTGAAATTGTTTAGTTAGTTTATTGCCTCTGAAATGATTATATATTGTTTTATAGATATGTGTATTATTATTTAGCTATTGTTTACCCCTTAGATTTCTTCTGTTTGCTTATTTTCACATTTTAATTTTACACATTATGAAAATAATTGAGATCAGAGTGAACCCCGAAAAAAAAAAAAATCTAGACAAACCTTGCCCTTTGTGGAAAATATTTTCCTACAAACTAATCATTGGTTGTGGTATAGACTGCTGTAAAGTACTTGACATTGATTCTTGTTCCTATTTCCTATTTTTTGATTTAGCCAAATGGATCTGTTGCAGCCTGTTGAAGGTCATGAAACACCTTCTAAATTGGATTAAAGTTCTCAGGTTTTGACTTTGGTTAGACCAGAGCAAATTATTATTTTCTTTTTTTTTTGTTAGGGCTCCTCTGAAATGTGCTGACTATGTTAGTTTAACAGCACATAGAATTGGCAATAAATCATGATTAGTAGAAAATACTATAATTCTATAATTTCTAAGTTTATGTTTGTCCATCCATCCATTTTCTTACACGCTTAATCCCAAGCGGGGTCACGAGGGGTGCTGGTGCCTATTTCCAGCTGTCTACGGGCGAGAGACAGGGTACACCCTGGACAGGTCACCAGTCCATCGCAGGGCAACATAGAGACAAACAACCATTCACATTCACACCTAAGAAAAATGTAGAGAAACCAATTAACCCAACAGTCAAGATTTTGGAATGTGGGAGGAAGAAGGAGTTTCCGGAGAGAACCCATGCATGCACAGGGAGAACATGCAAACTTCATGCAGAAAGACCCCAAGCCGGGAATCGAACCCGGAACCTTCTTGCTGCAAAGCAGCAGTGCTACACACTGTACCACTGAGCAGCCCTCAAGTTTATGTCTGTCTCAGACTAAAATGTCCTTGATTTTTAAATGCATAAAATTGGCAGAAAGGTAAAATCAGAAGATGCTCTAAAATAAATTTTACTGTACTTTCACAGCACTGCATATACATGAGCCAGTGGTACCAAAGTTTATCCTTGTGAGCTGCTGTTGTCCAGCTTTTAGATGCATCCCTTCTGCAATCAAATGAATGTCTCCTTAACGGGCCAAAGCAGAAATAATTGACAGAATACTGAAGGCAATCAGCCTTTTCTCAGATGCGTCTGAATAGATGCATCTACAGGAACCTCTGCTTTAGATACTGAAGTAGGTTAACGTCGGTGTGAACCTGAAATCCCACATCCACCGTCACCGCCCAGCTCCGCCTCACCTCGCTGCACTCCAGACCGTCTGTGCAACATGTTCTCATTAGTTTTAAAATCATAAATAAAAAAAAATTCTCATCAGTTTTAAACAGAATTTTAGAAAAAAGATGTTATCAATCTGAAAGGCCAGTCATACTGAATAGACAACTTTTCTCCAGAGGCAACCCAATGGTATTGTGAAACGATGAAGTGTTCCTCCTTAGGTGCAAAGACTTAATTAAAATGTATTTATACATTTGAGTATCATATTGTGTATGATACAATTTGTGTTAAGTGAGGGTCCAGATATTTCACCATATATTGTTTTAATGGCAGGAGGTGCAATATCTTGCACATTTAGTGGACTGCTTTAAATAACCAAAGCTGACCTAAAAGCTTCTGTTAATATCTTTTATTCTTTAATAATATATATTCTTTTTTTAATGCTCCTATATAATTTACCAGCAGAGGGCAGCACATGTACATTATTTCAAAGACAACCTCTTCCTGGAAAAGAAAAATGTGTAGCTCTGTAATACATACATACAATGTAATACAATACATATAGCTCTGTAGTGTATGTATGGGTATATATGTGTATGTGTATGCATGTGTGTGTGTATATATTTTTATAATAAATACAATTTTTTATTAATATTTTCATCATTTTGAGTGGAATTGCTGGGCCATTCATTTTTTTTAATTAAATATTCAGAATTTTTAATGAGGAAGAGTAACTGTCTTCATAGCTGTTTCATGTGTAGAATCCACAGTGCTTCATTTTGATGTAAGCATGTTAAATTTTGACAAAGGGACAGTTATTCATTAATTATAGCCCTTGCTCCATAAGCAGAATTTAACAAAGGGTTCAATTTAGCTTCCAGATGTCATGTTTTTTTTTTTTTTTTAAGGGGAAAACATTTTTGACAGCTTTTTTTTTTCCTTTGTCTTTTATTCCCATTAGGACAGCAGCCATCCTGAGACGCTGATCAACCTTATAGTCCTGACGCAGCACCTGGGGAAAGCTCCTGAGGTGAGACCAAAGTTCTACAGGCATCAACCTAAGAGTGCTCCTTTGAACAGATAAAAGACACTGATGCAACTTTGACCCTTCCGTCCTAAATCCAACACGTACATTCAAGCAATTTAAAAGCCTGCTTTGCCTAAATCGGTACATTGCTTACCTGGAAACGACACTAAGGCGTATCTGCTGTGCAGTGGCGTAACAGTCAGAGTTCATATGATAAAGGCAGAATAATCAGACTTACATTTGCTGCATGTGACTGCAGCAGACTAGAATGCTGACCATTAACACAAAAGCATAATTAACCAGTCTACAGCTGTGATAACAACTGATAAGCTCATCTCGCTCAAGGTTAACTAGGAAAATTAGGTCATTTCTTAGCAAATTATATAGAAAGGTTAAAAGGTAATCAAAGAATTTTTAAAAGATATTTGTTGGATTCAATTTTTACTAATATCCAATAAGTTGTTTGTTGCTTTTATCCCACAGCTCCCAAGTCATAAGCTACAGAGTTTACAGTATTTTTAGGACATAGTTTCTCTTTAAGATTAAACATTAATTTCTGAAGACTTTTACTTTCAGGGCTGCAGGTATTGATTGCTTTGGTGATCAGTATGTATTTTTATCTATATACTGTAAATAAACTATTAAATTGAAATATTAAATTAAGTATGCATGTATATGTATGATTCAACCTTAAGAAGCAAACATTTATTGCACATTAGATGTAAAAAAATAAAAATAAAAATATATATATATATATATAATGCAAAACACCAATTGATTAAATCCTCTTAGTTTTTACTGTTGTATTTTAATTGTTGGTTGTTTCATGCATTGTTTTGAGTTTCCTTAGCTACAAAATTCTGTCCAGTGCAGAGTATTCATGTAGTATCTACAACAGAGCCTCATCTGCATCCAGCTTGTTGAAGGGCGCAAGCATGAATGCAAATGTATTATGTGTTTGAAGTAATTATTTGCCTTCAGGCTCCTCCTTGTTCGCAATCCTTTGTGCCTTGACTTCCTTACAGCCACCCAGAATCATCTGTTTGTGTTTCCTTAGGTCACCAATCGGTATCTCTCCCAGCTTAAGGATGCACACAAAGCTCATCCATTCCTAAAAGATTATTTTGCAAAGGTAACGCTTGTGTTATACACTTAGAGATAAATACTTAGATACTTAGAGACTAAATAACAAACCTGTTTTATTTAGTGAGACTGATGGTACTGTTTGTAGTGATAAGCTGGCAGCGTGTATCCTTGGATCAAAGCCGAGAAGGACATTAAACCTTCACCCTTTGCTTATGCTCTGTGTTGCAATCACGCTAGAGTATAAACATGCATAAACTGGGTTATTGACTGGACAGATGCATGTATAATACCTGGATTTGTAACTGTGTTTAACTGTTTTTTTTGCTGCTGTCTCTTTCTGCAGGAGAATGAGTTTGACAGGTTAGCAATGCAGTATGCCCCCACCGCTACTGCATAGATCTTCTGTTTCTACAAGACTCCCTGAACAGTGGACTTTGAGAAAGACCTTGAAGATAACAACAGTTTCTCTGTCATGTTTTTTTTTTTCTTCTTTATAACCTTGTCTGTATTTCAACCACGCTAGACATTCTTATATCCCTGCATCGATCCCCATCCTACACATATACTTTTCTTTACAGCAATTCTGTTATATAAGCATTCCTTTGAAATGTTAATAAAGGCTTGACGAAACTTGAGTGTTTTATTTGTGTTAAATCTGCCAAAAATAATATAGAAGTATATTATATGTGCGACTATAAAATAAAAGTTGGTATGGAATACCAGCTACTGGAAAAGTAGGTCCTCAGTTCAATATGTTATCCAATCAAGTACAAAAATACTATGTTCACCGAGATGGCTACCTTTACTGTTGGCAGTGGGGAGGTGCCACGTCCTGCTGAATAAGTGTGGAGTGGCGGCCTATTGGTTAGGGCATAGGGCTGGGAATCTTGAGTTTCTGAGTTCGAGCCCCCACCTACAGACTACCACTCTGGGTCCTTTAACCCCCGATCTCAACCTGGTTGTCGAGCAATGTCAGCCCACTGCTCATCATACGGTTAGGTTAAATGCAGAGGTAAATTTCCTTGTGAGATCACTAAAGTAAATTATTATTATTAGTCATAATTAGATCATTTTCTCCACAATGCCTGTTGACAGACGGTTCTTTGAAATGTCCTAAAACTGCCAGCTGCACCGACTTTGGACGTGATAAAACACAATGGACCAATACTGTGCACATGATATAGGCTCCCATTTCATTGCCCACTGTGGAAAGGACTTAGCAGCATGGATTTCTGCACCTTTAGATCCTAAGTATTTTATTTCACATTAAAGCAAGAATAAGATTTTTTTTACATGAAATTAATTTCCTTATGAAAGTGGCACCTGATGTCTTTGGTTTAAGAGTGGCTATACATAAAGTCTAAGAATCTGTTGGCCCTGGAAGCATTAACTGCACCTGTAGTCTGCTCTCCAATAATCTGTGCCGATCTGAAATAGGCTTTGCTTCATCATCATCTGGTAGCTACAGTTATCTTTCGTTTGTGATACACGTTTCCTTCAACTTAACTTTCTATAAGTGACCTTAGATGCAGTAATGGCAGCCTATTTAAATTATCTGTGGCTTTTGCTTGATAGTGTCAGTGACGTAAGAGGGAAATTGTTTCATAGACAGGGGCAGAGCTAGATGGGGGCCAGGGGTGGCCATGGCCACTCTTAGCCAATCATTGCTCACCCCTGTGGCCACCCTAGCATTTATTTCCCTCTAATACAGATGGTGGGAACAGTAATACTCTCAAGTGGAATATTCAAAACATTTTATTTTTCATATATTAACAATTACTTGACAACTAAAACACTGTGGTTTTTTTATACACATCAATATAGTAACATTAAAGATTAAAAATACAGAATTCAAGCAGAAATAAATTTTGTGTTTTTTGGGGAAAGAGAAAATTCATCTAGGAGTCTTCAGTGAAATCATAGATAAATAACAACTTGAATAGAAACTTAATAAATAATCAATTTATGTAGATATTTGTACTTGTAAATATTAATTTTATGCAGAATGATTACTGATAAAAGTAAGTAAGTAACAATGGAAAAGATGTTTGCCCCAAAATTCAAACCTTTATCCACTATACCTTTTATGTAGAAAGCACGGATGTTTGAATATATGCGTCTATTAGTTAGCAAAGGCTGTGAGAAAATATAGTTTGTCTTTATTTCGAAAACATGGATGTTTTGCTCATTAATTTTCCTGTTGGAACATTGTAGATTTTGGTGCCTATCTGCTTACGGCCACCCCTCAGTGTGCATTGGTTATTGCCTGGCCACCCTTATAAAAATGTTCTGGCTACCCCTTCTGTTCACAGTTGCATTCAAATATTAATGTATTTAACTTTTTGTCTTCTTTTTCTTTTTCAAATGTATCAATGTGTGATACATTATAATAAATTATAATAAATATAATACATTATAATAAACTTTAATTAAGTATTTTAATTAAGCTTTTAATTAAGTCTTTGCACCTGTGAATGTTTCTCTCCACGGTCGCTTTAAACTTTCCATTCAGCTCCTCAGCGGTTCAAACAGAGGGTTCATAAAGAAGATAGCGGCCCTGTAATACGTCACGCCCTCGCTTGATATTTTACCCCCCCATAAACGCAGCTGAGCCATTAACGCAGGCTGTCCTCCTTTCTTTGAACGCACCAGTTGCTCGCTGTGAGCTGAGCTCACCGCGTCCAAACGCTCATTCACACCAGCGGCACAGAAAGAGCAGCAGGAGAAGAAACGACGCACGTCTTTTATTTTTTTTATTTTTAATTGTCGACCAGGATACGTTAGTTTGATCGATTTCCTCCGGAATATCTAGTCCTCGTGCCTTTGAGTGACCGCTGTCCCCCAGATGAAGCGACCCAGCAGCGTTATATAAGGCGGATAACGGTCCGAGATGAGAGCGCGTGTCTGACAGCGGAGCGGCAACAGAAGTCCGCCCGGTGCTGTTTGCTCCTGTGTCTAAAAGGCTTAATTCATTCAACCGAAGCGCTAACATCGCACAGGAAGCCGCCTCTGTCGTCAATGCTGCTCCATCAACTGCGCTGTCTGATTTACTGTAAGCTAGGCGGCTAACCTGCCGCAGAAGAGCCGTGTGGATACAGCAGAAAGATGAACGCTCACATTAACTCCTAGAAATCCTTCCTGGAATTGGTGGTTAACATTTCCATTTTGAGCTTTAATTACAGCCTCTAATAATTTTATTTTTTCATGAGAGAGTTCTGAGCGCAGAGAATGGGCCCATGTCTCAATTTGGAAAACAAAGAATTAGGCGCATGAAGAGTGGATAAGCTCGTTAGATAAGCTCCCTTTATTGAGCCAACAAGCCCGGTCAGCCTGGACTCCTTCTATCCCTCTGCTGGAGGCATCTCTCCCGGCTTTTATCCGCTCTGTTGTCACACCGACGCACCGAGATGGGCGGCGAAGCCAGGGGCCCCGGGCCGGTAGAAGTAGAGCCCATGCCGGGGTACTGGGAGCTCCTCTCTAGAAGCTCCAGCGTCATGCTGAGCGCATGGAGAGACTGTGACCGCTGCGGTTTGGAGCTCTCCAAACAAACGCTCCTGGATAACGCCTACTTCACCTGGACCGAAATAGCCCTGTTTTTCTTTTGCGCCTTTTTGTGGACGATCATCAGGAAGGGATTGACAGAAAGTCTGTTTAAGGTAGGTAAAACCACCCGGATCCACGCACACACACTGCTTTACCTAACGCTCCATCCTCTAAGATGCATGCCATATGCGCCTCCAACACGCAGAGAAAAACAGGGCTGGAGGCAATGCTTAGACACAAGTTGGACACATGTTCATACGCACCAAAAAAAAAAAAAAAAAGACTACGGTAACTACAGTTTCAGGAAATATTAACCTGACTCACACATGCGTGAAAAAAGAAATGCAGCTGGTGCATTCACAGTCTGTTGTGCTCTTTGGTTTGGGTTCTGTGAGTCATTCAATATGGTTAATGCTGGGCATGGAAGTGTGCGCCCACGTGCAGCTACTACTGTGCACATGCTCTGATCATGCATGTGTGGAGAGAGGGCCCACACTCATTACAACAGGGACACCCACAGGAGGAAACGCTGGTGTTGATCTGACCTGAAATAAATGTTAGCAGCAAGACAGGATGTGAAACCTTGCAGGGGATACAGTGCTTCACTAAAGGCTTTACACACACTTTCCTCTTCTATCATGTTACAACACTGTAATGCATGATGGTGAAGCAATTGGTAAAGTACTTTTAACTCTTCGCACTTTGGATGGAAAGCATCTGCAAAATAAATGTTCAGGTCAGATTTTAACTGGGCGATTTTACCACCTAAAGTTCCATTTATAAAAAAAACAAAACAAACAGTATTTTCTTTCCTAGGGATCAAATGCCCTTCATCATTTAGATGTGTCCCTGCTCCAACACACCTAATTTACCTGCATTATCTCCCCAGCAAAGCATTGAAGCCTGATAATCTCCCAGTCATTTACATCAGGTGTACAGTAGCAGGAAAAACACCTGAAACAGACTTTCTTTTTTTTCCATAGTCTGTTTTTATAAGCTGTAATTTTGTTCAGTATTTCCTTTTGTTCTGTTCTCTAATATTTATCCCTTAAAGCATCTTAGCTGAAGGATTTACCTTAAAACCAATCTCTTTATATCTTGCTGTTGGAACCTCCAAATGTTGAAATAAAATCTCATTAAAGTACATTGAAGTGAAAAAATCCAGGGGTTATGATTATTTTTCCAAAGTGCTGGTGAAGGTTCTCAGTCATCCAGGTCAAAGTCACACAAAAAAGAAAAGAAAATTAAAAACAATCCACTGGACTTTGTTTCCAAATTTGAAGATGTTTCGCTTCCCATCCAGGAAAGTTTTCAATTTGTTTTAAAAAAACAAATTCATGAAACATAAGAAGAAATGCTATTAAGATCACCAAGCTGTAAACTTCCACAAGTAGTTAAAAATAGACTTCAACAAATAAAGCAACCAAAAATGTATATTCTTTCATATAAAATAATCTTCATCCTCATCATCATGTGAAACTATAATAAAAAGACCAAATGTATGAAGTACACCACATCAGATATGTTCAAACAACAGCCCTGAAAGTGTACCAGACAACTGATAAGAATTCACTCTCTTTGTTTGTTATGAACATAGAATCACACTTAAGACGTCGGAGTTGGTAATCAGTAATGATTTGTCAATCCCACACCCCCCCGCCCCCTCCCGACACGTTTATTTTCAGTTAGTGAAGCACTTTCTGTTTTCCTTTGTTTGACATAGCTGCTGGTTTTTAGCACTAAATCAAATTCCTCAGCGATGGAGGCGTTTCTTCATGCTATAAAAAGATCAAACGCTGTTGTTGGTGAAATCACTTGATGCTGCTGGAAAACTATGTCATCGTTTAGTGCTTGGAGACGGCCATTTACAGAAAACAGCAGGCACGACGGTAAAGGCTCCTTTCTCACCCCAGTTTGTCTGTTAGAGAGCAGACACCGAGGCTGTGCGCTGACAGGACTGGACCTCTGCCCAGATCCTCTATATTCTCCTCCTCACCTATCAAAGATTCAAGGACCCTCCTACCTCCTTCTGTTGATTAATCCCAACTAGGCCTGAAATTCTTTTGTCAATTCAATTGTCAGTTAATTTAGTAATGGAACCAAACTGAAATATGACATTTACTAAAGGATCAACTCCCTCAGAACCGTAAATAAGCTAAAATAAGAAACAGAATACCAAAAATATTGAAGTTTTGAATTTAAGACATTTGTCTTATATTGCATTTACAGTTTTAGCATGTACAATGTGCAATACATTTTTTTATTAAGATATATTTTTATACTAAAGCCTTCCCTTTTCAGATTATTTGAAGAAGAAAAAAATGAAATAGATTACTAGATTACTAAAATAATCAACAGCTGGAGCCTTTATTCCTACCCAGATTATTTCCTACACAGAAAAGCTGGATATAGGATGTTTATTCTGTGATCATCCAGTATGGTAGTGGAGTTTCTACAGCTTGGTTGTTCCTACAGCCATGATGTCAGAGACCGCCTTGCTGTATCTCTGACCCACATGTTCACATCCAGATGTGGACTCAAAAAGTCTAGAATGAGGCCTGGTTTCTCTTTTACGATTTATAATTATGTCTTACTGCCATCTTTTTAATATTGCTATCAGACCCATTGGTGGTTGCCGTCTAAGTAGCCGAATACATTTAGTGCACGTCCATCCCTGATGTTAGGAATGAAGAAGATGGGTTTGTGGTCTTATTTGTTCAGAGCGCATCTATTGGCCTGAAACAAAACCAGATGGTTTCTCATTAGGCAGACAGTTGAGTAAACATCCGTGTGTTTAATAGCTGGTTGGCAAAGATTGATGGTGCAGTTTTCACTGTATTAACATGTGCTGTTGTTATGGTTTCCTAAATGGAAAAAAAAAGTGAGCACAGTTAATTGCAACAGAGATAATTATGTATGCACATCCTCAGAGCCCATAGAAACCTGTAATCACAGACTGATTATTTGGAAACAGGTTGGCAAATTACTTTCTGGGTTTTGAGAGCTTCTAAAAAAACCTTTGATAGATAATCTATCATTTAATTAAGGGAAGTCTATTTGATTTATTTATAATCAGAAACCGAATGTAGAGATCTTGCACTTAATTGAAATGAGTAAAAAAAGAAAACAGAAAATTATTGTTATTAATTTAAAGTCCTAAATCATTCAAATGAACATGTGCTTCAAATTTACTGGCATTATTTAAAAGAGCACAGTGAGCAGGAACATTAGATTAGTATTCAATGACTTACTGTAACCCTGTGGGGAATTCATGATGTGACACACAGGTCCAGACTTCATGTCACCTTTCAAAATGAAAACGAAGAACTAAGCTGCCATTAACTTGAAGCAAATGAGTGTTGAGTGCAGAAAATTTGATGAACCATCGATCACTTTATTCGCATTTTTTTTATTATTTCAGGGCAACTTTAGCACTAATAAAAGCTGAATAATAAAAGCAATTAAACAATTTCAATTATGAGACAAGATTATGAGATTTTCTTTGAACCTTTTGGTAATATTTCTGTAGGGTGTAAGTATGAGATACCACAGATGCCCATTTCTCCCTGTCACTCTTTAGGACTGGGAAAAAGAAGACAACTGAGGCAGGTTTGTCTTTATATCAACTAGAAAGTTGTTTACCTTTTATATTAAAATTAATCTAATGTTTATGTTAGAAATGCCTAAGGTGCATTGTATGTTTTGAATTTTAAAGAGTCAGTCATTAGATAGATAGCCTAAATCAGCTCTACCTTTATCATTCTATCTTTGATCAAACTTTATTTTCAGAGGCTGCTGAGGTTGTCTGGCACAGATCAATAAATACTGTTATTAGTTTCCCTGTCAGTAAGTTTCAGGACTCAGAGTTAGCTGTGATGGCTCGATGGACATCATTTACTGTAATCATAACTCTCCCCTGTACAGGAAGACAAGTTCTTCTATTCCAGGTTTTCTGACTTATCTTCATTTTCTCAGTCGGACTGTTCAACAGTTAAAAGAGATATTAATTAACACGACATTTGGATTATTTTAACTAGAAGTATTTATGTCCAAAGCCAATGTGCATTTAAGTCATTTAAATCATCCGCCTATTTTGACACATTGGCAATTTTATATCTCAAAGCTTTTTTTTATGATGGATGAACTTTGTTCAAATTAACTCAGAGCTTTGAAAGCTGGCAGGGCTTTGACCCAAAAAATGTTTGGTCTGTGTTTAAGCCAAGCAAATAGGGCCTCCCATATGCTGCCATTATTTCACATGTGACTGTTTATCTGTCGACTATGGTGGGAAGAAGCTCCTTGGTGTCTCTTCGGTTCATGCTAGCTTCTTGCACCCAGAAAGGTGTTTCACATTTGCTTTGATGCATGAGTGAACGGCCCACTGCAGCACACACTCAGGTTAGATTAACTTCCTTTACAAGTCTCTGTAATGTAAGATAACGGTGCACCCTGGCCATGTTCTGTATCATCTATGGGAGCCCTGAAACTCTGGTCGTTTAAAGAAAAGCAAATGTGGCTTTTAAGATAAGAGCTTAAAAGTTCTTCTGAGGAACAAACATGTAAACTTGCAGTGTTAAGGCAAGGCTCCTTCCTCATTTTCATTTTTTTTAACCTCTATTCTGCACAAACATGTTTCCGAAAAGTTTTGTGCAGAAATGATATTTAAACAATCATAATGCAACTGATTTTTTTTAAATCTGCATCTGTGGGAACAGGCTGAGGGTGCACGATGGTTTCAGATTCACAACCACTCAAATCTGCTTGCATTTTATAGTTATATATATATAGAGAAAGAGAGAGCAGAAGCATTTTCTACGAAGCCACCCGTTACTTCAACTAGAAGTAGAAACATTCATGAGAAAATGAACAGAGAAAATAGAGCTGAGAGAAGAGGAGAGGGTTGATCCGGGAGAATTAATGGACAAATAAAGACGAGTTGGAGAGAGGAAGGAAGAGCTGGTGAGTAGAAAGGACTCGTAGAGCCAAGCTTGATGACTCAGCTCCAGAGGCCAATCATTAACGCAGTTGCACATCCAGGCAGACACATCCGTAGACTTTTTAAAAGGACATGTGCTTCTTTGATATCTGTTCTCTAAAGGTTTGCGTCCGGCAT